CGCTAGCACCACCCTCGCCTGGGCTTGGCTTTGAAAGTCCAGGACCTCTTCCTTTAGTTGGAGGAGGACATCTTGTGTGGAGAGGCGTGGTCGGAATCCATACATGGTGTCCGCAAAGTACTCTTGTTCCTCGAGATATGGTTGTAGTCGTGACAAGACGACGTGCTCCATGAGCTTCCCCACACAAGACGTAAGCGAAATGGGTCGTAGGTTTTGAAGTCCTAGTGGCTTGCCAGGCTTAGGGATAAGTGTAATGTCCGCGTGTTTCCATTCCTCCGGGATTCTTCCTGTCCTCCAGACCTCGTTGAAATATCGGGTGAGCGCCGTAATGGAAGCGTCGTCGAGGTTGTGCAGCATTTTGTATGTGACTCCGTCTTTCCCCGGGGTTGTGGTGCGCGTAAGCTTGGTGAGGACAGCTTGTATCTCCGATTCGGTGAAGTCCGCGTCTAGCTGGCTCGGCTCTTCCGTGTAGGAGTACTCTGCATAGTCGGGGCGTGGGCCGGCTGCGAGGTATCGGGATTCTAGTTCCTTCACGATGGAGGGTTCGTCCCGCTGCAGTCCGTGCAGAAGTTTGGTCACGGCCTTGGATGTCTCGGTCTTGGAGCGCGATGGGTCCAGCAAGGATCGGAGCATTGCCCAAGTCTTAGCGGTCCCAAGCGTACCACGCAGCCCGTGGCATAGTTGGTTCCAATTGCTTTCCGCCAAGGTGGTTGCGTAGTCTTCCGCCTTTTGGTTGAGCTCGGCGATGCGCAGTCGCAGCTTGCGGTTGAATCTCTGCGTCTTCCACCGCTTAGTGAGTCCTCGCCGGGCGTCCCACATGTGGAGGAGATGGGGGTCTATCGCTGGGGTGTCGATGGTAGTATTGACTTTCTTGGTTGCTCGATCAATGTCTTCATGGAGCCGTTGGGTCCACTCCTGGATGGAGGTAATGTCTCCGCTCTCGGTGCTCCCTCGCTGTTGTCTGAACTGGTCCCAGTTCGTGAGTCGAGCAGGTCGAAGCTTTCGTGTTCTACGGCCTCCATCGCACACCTCGGTCTCCAGGATGTAGTGGTCACTTCCCAGCGTTTCGTCCAGGTTGGACCAGCTACACGAGGTCTGCGTGCGGACTAGGGTTAAGTCTGGGCACGTGTCGCGACTAACGCTGTTGCCCATTCTTGTGGGGTGTTCCGGTTCTGTCATGATGGTAAGGTGATTGTTGGCGATAGCTTGTGCTAACCTGCGTCCCTTGGGGTTCTCCTTCACATATCCCCAGGTCGGGTGGGCCGCATTGAAGTCGCCCACGATCACTAGGGAGTTTGTTCGGGGCTGAACAACTTGGATCGCATCGTGGAAGAGGGCTCTGAAGTCATCGGCCTTCTGGCTTGGGGAGCTATAGACGTTGAGCACGAAGAGGCTGGGGAGCGTCTTTTTCTTGGGTAGGATTTCGAGTAATGTGTGGGGTATATGTCTATGCTGCTTGAAGGAATGGTTTATGACGGAGATGTGTTTAGCGACGAGGGTTGCCGCTCTGTACAGTGTAGCCTCCGGGCCGCTATCCATTTGCATGAACATTGTATATCCAGAGAGGCTCGGAGGACAGTTTGGCTCTTGTAGTGCGATAATATCCGGTGCAAAGCCTCTTGTGCCAATGTAATGCATGAGAGCGCCGCGCTTGCGCCTGTACCCTCTACAATTCCATTGCCAGATTGTTGTTGTGTGTTTCTCGGACGGGGTTAGGGTTGATGATGAATGGGCTGTCGGTTTCTGGCTTGCCATATTAGATCTGAGGTGTGCCAGGGGGCTCCTGTGTCGTGGGGTTGGGCAGGATTTGCGCGTTGACCGTTGTTGGTGTGGGTGCGGTGTTGCTTGTGATGGCGACCACGGACTCGTTGGGAATGGGGACCGTGATTCTGGATTGCGCGACTTGGCGCAACTGAGCTGTGAGTTCCGCCACCTGCTTCATCAAGGGCTGGATGAGGGGTTGTATGATCTGCTGGAAGCGAGACTCTTGTTGTGAGATGATTTCTTCCGCAAAGCTACGCATCTGAGCTTGTACGTCATTGTGGATGACCTTGGCCAGCTCACAGACTCGCCTGTCAAGCTCACCCATCATCTCTGCTTGGAGCGCCTTCAACTTGGCGTTGGATTCTTCTCTGAGCTTTTCTAGGGTTTGGTCTGACGTCGCTTGTGCCTTTAGGGGGGTAAGCTCGCATTCTGATGTGGGGCTGGGTTCAGGGGGTGTGGAGGGTGGCGGTGTGAGGGAAGGTGTGGGATTAAAGGGGTGCGGCTCCGTCAACCTTACTTTACTCGCGGGCTCGCTGGGATCGGAGAGCTCAGATGCCGGGACGGCGGGTGGTTAACCTGGTGGTTCAGTGGGATTTCGGTTCCGCTTCTTAGGGTTCGGCGCCGGTCCTTGTTCCATCGCAGCTGCTTCCGCAGGTGTGGGATCCGTGATGGACGCGAATTCCTCGCGCACCATTGGGTTGTGGCTCGGCCATGGTCTGGGTTGCGGGTGCTCTACCTTGGTTGACGCCGCAGATGGCTTCCGACGCGGTCCTAACAGTCCCGTCAGAGGCCTGCGTTGTACTGGAGTTTGGCGGTTTAGCTGGCGACGAACGTGAGCCTTGTTGAGAGGCCCCCGCTGTCTTGCCGGACACTTTGGGTCGGTGGCTGGATGCGACCCACCGCAGTTGACACATTTTTCGTTGCAGTCGTGCTCTTGGTCCGCTGTTCCGGGTTTGCCGCATCTGCAGCATTTGCTCTCCTCGGGATGTGGGCAAACATCCACGCGGTGTCCCAGGCCCAAGCAGGCGGTGCATATTTGTTCTCGGGGTCGGTGTGGTAGGCACCGGTATTCGGCGCCCCTGAAGTACACGTAGTAGGGAACCTTCAGTCCCTCAAAGTTGATAATGGCCGTGTTTGTTTGGCCCATCATCCGTGCGCATAGGACCTTGACTCCCTGCGCTCGTATTCTCGTAGAAAGAATCTCGGACGTCGGTCTCGAATCCAAACCCATGATCACTCCCCGGCATGATTATCTGGCAAAGCGATGTAAGCAAGGATTTCGTATTGGCGGCCGTTGATTGTGATAGCGGGAAGCTCTTGCACCCTGACCGCTACCTCGGGCTCAGGGGTGCTGACCACGACGAGATTCTGGTCGCGGCGTATTCGGATCTTGACCGTGTCGATCTCCGCTGCAGTGAGCTGGGCTGCGTCTATGAAGGCCATAGCGACTTGTTCGGCGCTCCATACTGTGAAATTGAGGCCGTCCCTAGGTCGTACAATGACCTTGTGGTCATTCACGGGTAGCGGCGGCAGCCGGTGTGTTGGATGGGTCTTGCCGGCTCGTCCGGGCCTCCCAGTCGGTTTCGGGGGTTGGGATTGTTGTGCCACAGCCTGGGCGGCGGCCGCGGCACGTTCCGCGATACGTTTCTGCTTCTTTACCCGTCGGTTGACTACGTCGGTCCATGTGTAGTCACCTGAGCTTTGCGGGGCCGAGTCATGTTCCATGGGTTGGGCGACGCATGTCGTCTTAGAAGGGGTTTGGGACCCGGAATTTTCTTCTGGGTCAGTGCTGCATTCGTCCGAAGACGATAGAGAGGTCATTTCGGGCGGCGCAGGGTCCGTCAAGGGCAGGACGGGACCTGAAGTTGCTGACCCTAGGCGTGGTCAGGCTGAGCGGCCCGCCGCATAGACTTGGGCAATCCTATCTTCGGTTAGGCCTAGCGGGTGCGTCCCGGTTCGGATTTTCAAAGGGCCGAAAATGAAATTCCGGGAGGACCTACTTGCTCATATGTAGATGTTCCGTGGTCCTGCCCAACAAACCACTGGATGTCCATTGGACATCCGATAGATATCCGCTCAGGATATTCGGACGTCCCCAGGAGATCCGTAGCCGTCCGACGGACGTCCCCAGGACATCCGTCAGAGTGCCAAAGGTAACAAATTTGCATGTCCGTCGGACATCCGAAATGGGATCCTTCTGCAGGCCATTTTTGGATATTCAGATGGCTTGCCTGAATTCATTCTACTTTAGCCCAGATATGTTGTAAACCAGTCAAAACACTAATTTCTACAGGGTAGAATTTCTTCGGATATCCCGTGAACATCCGATAGAGATCCGATTCAGATATATCGAACATCCGTGGGACGTCCGTATACGTCCAACGAACATCCCCAGGACATCCGACAGAGCGCCAAAGCGAACAAAATTGCACATCCGTTGGACATCCGAAATTGGATCCCTCTGCAGGCCAATTTCGGATATCCCGGGAACATCCGATATAGATCCAGTTCAGATCTACCGAACACCCGTGTACGTCCGATGAACATCCCCAGGACATCCGACAGAGCGCCCGAGCGAACAAAATTGTACGTCCGTCGGACATCCGCAATGGGGATCCCATTGCGGATGTCCGACGTACGTGCAATTTTGTTCTGCAGACCAGTTTTGGATATTCAGATGCCGCATGCCTAAATCCGTTCTATTCTTGCCTGGATATGTTGTAACCAGTCAAAGGACGACCCTGAGCCAATTTATATTGGCAATATGGTTTTATTACTACACTCATGTCCTATCCATACAGGTGCTTCTAGTGGCCCTACTCTTCTGATTCATCTCGGAGGTTGGTGTTCAATTTTTACGCATTGGGAAACCATCTTGCCCTGTGTCATCTTGCAGCTGTCTTTTCATGACCCTAACAAAGAACCAAAGCAGGTATCAGTGCGGGAAATTTCATAGTACATCCAGAAAGTACCTGTAATTGTGTGGCATACAGTAAGGTGACAGTCCCCGGCGTGGGCAGGTCCTCTCTGCACTGTGTGGCCCTAAGGAAACAAGTTGGAGACGGTATCGGTATGAGTGAAGGTAAATTTTGCAACACTTGGAAGTTACCTGTTGCTGAGTAGTGTAGTGTAAGGTGCTCGTCCCTGGCATGGCAAGGTCATTTCTGCACCAAGGTGAAGAAGAGACGAGTGCACGCACCTTTCACACCAGAATCGGAACATACCTGTAGCTGAGTGGCATGGTCTAAGGTGCTATTCTCTGGTGTGCTGGGCAGCCCTTGCTACACCGCATGGACCTAAAAAATCAAGTTGAAGAAAGTATGAGCGTAGACAAATTTCACAACACTTTTAAAACCTTTTAGTAGCCGAATAGCATAGTGTGAGGTACTAACTGTTTTTCCATAACATGGCAAAGAACAAACGCTGCAGCCCCGCAAGACAGTCAGAGCGAGTTGCATCACAATGTAGCCGTCGTGCATTCCTCCCGTGGAGTGCTGTCATGTACTTTGCTCTGTCACTTTAATTGGCTCACGGGGGCCATATAGCTTTCACCCTTAGCCAAGTTATAGTGAAGCGGAGTGTACTATAAAGGCGCGTTCCCACCGGCGATGCGATCTAGTCGTGCGATAACTTTCATCGCAAAAGTGACCATTGCGGGCAAAAAGCGACGCGATTCGAGCAGTCGCGACTCGACCCGACTTTTTTGCGATGCGATCTAGTTGCGGAGCGGCTGAGCCAATCAACGGCGTTCGGAGGGAGAGTTTTCGAGAAACGACTTGCCAACGAAGGCGTTGGACTCACTCATCGCGCACGCCGGTGTGACCATCTAATTTTTTTGCGATGCGATCTAGTCGCATCACGCGACTGCTTACATCGCCGGTGGGAATGCACCTTAAGAGTGGCAACTTGGGAGAGTTGGTGATGCATTACAACCAAAAAAAGTGCAAAAATTGGACGAAGGACGAGTGAGAGGAATGTAAGCGACAGGCGCCGACTTGCAACTGAATTTTTTATTAGGAAAAAACATGAAACCCTCGAACCACCAAAACATGAAACACCGCCAATCTTATCAATGTGATTACAATATTGCTTCATAACGGTGTCCTTATGAAGCAATATTGTAATCACATTAATAAGACTGGCAGTGTTTCGTGTTTTCGTGGTTTTCATGTTTTTTCCTAATAAAAAAATTCAGTTGTAAGTCAGCGCCTGTCGTGAACATTCCTCTCACTCGTCCTTAGTCTCATTTTTGCACTTTTTTTGGTTGTAACAGAGTGTAGTCTTTGCCGTGGGGAGCTCATTCCTACATCTCGTGACCCTAACAAAACCTTTTGAAGGGATGAGTGCAGACAACTTTCATTAAGTAAATTTTACCATATTTGCCACACAGTTTGATCTTGAGGCGAATATTAAAGATGCCTATAAAACACTGGTTCCATACTTAAAAAATATGGCACAAAATACAAACCCTTGAACTGTAATTTTGTAGCTAATTACCAAAAAATGTTGCTTCACAGCTCTGGAAACAAATAGGCACAGATAACAATGTTCAAACTTGCCTTGTACACGACTTGACTGGTAGTAAAAAAGGATAGCACATTTCATAGTAGAAATTACCAGGGGCATTTTTATGGTCCATTGGCTCCGTTAATGCCTGCTCACTGGCCTTTCCTGAAAATACACAAAAAAAAAATGGGTTCAATAAAAAGTCAAAAATAAATTTTTTATCAAAAGTGGAGTGCCACTCAAATACAAAAGCAGAGCATTGAATGTACTTGCACAGCTTCTTTCCCACAAATCCACAGTAGGCCATTTCCTGCCATCTATGGAGTGCATCCAGTGTACAATGAAGCACCAAGAAAGTGATCCGTGCAAGGAAATTGAACATCTCCATGTTGAAATTACGTTCTTAAATTGCATCATACTGTAAGCCCCGTAATCATCTGGGTGCACTTTGCAGTGAGTGGACTAGAATGTGCTCTGCAACAGGGCAGACGTGCATGCATTTTTCAGAGGTGGATATATATAGCGATGTGAATCACGAAACTGCCAAAGAAAAGTGCAGACATGATGGTGTGCCTTCATGTGTGTGGAGATAGTATATAATGAACATCAGAGTTTATGTTTGGTATTAACAACATATATCTGATTAAATGAGAATCTTTAATTTTATTGTGCTAAACACTGCGCACTATGCAGCTGCTTAAAATCCACTGTAGGAATGTAAATACAGTATAGGCGCTCTTTCGCATTTTGCTTCTGCAGAATCGAGTCCAGCACCAAACTACACCCCATGAAAGCACACATTGACCCACCATGATCCACTTCATTCTAAACGCGAGGCTTTCAGCGCCCCCGCCAAGCACGCGCGAGCGTGCAGTGCAAGCAAAGGTTCAGGGGAACATGCTTGTGCTAGTAGCTTCGGCTTCGTTTGCACACGAAGTGAAACAAACATTAGTAGCTTCGATCAAAGCCATTCATGTGTAGACAAAACACGCAAAAAAAAAAAAAAAAAAAAATTACGATTGAACTTTGGAGAGCAAATCCCTTGGTCTATTTTATGATTAAATAAGCCTGAGACTGAGGAACACATATAAGGGGAAAAACACACACGGCCCTAAACATAGCTGGAGTTCTAGCCGAACTCGCTTGCACCCGAGGGACCAAGCAGCCCTCTGACACCGTGCGCGGGTTGGACGGCGCGGCGTCAGGTCCACACCGACGACACAGCAGCTTCACCGCCCTCACGTTCTCAGGCGTCAAAAACATAATTGTTCACTGTCCCTGAGAACAGCCCAACGCCTAACTTCTAAAAGGTCACTCACCTTCCGATTCCCTTGTAGCCGTGCTCGATGAAATGGAGAATAGTGGCGAGACGGAGGCTGTCAATCACCGATCCTAAATCGAGACTCGCACTTGCTTGCTCGCACAGGCTTGAGAGCGGCTCATTCGCGTCCGCTCGCTTTTGATCTTTATATTTTAAGAGTGACAATAACACTCGCGAAAAGAGAAAGCGAGCGCGGTAGCAGGATAACAGCGGAGACAGCGGCGGCGGCGGTACCAGCGGGCCGAAAAAGGCGCCATTGGCTAGAATAATTCTGCAGTAAATACATTGAAGCTTTTTCCTGATATTTCCAGATATTACCTATTTATTTAGAGCAATTTCTTTTATAACTGAACATAAAATGTCGCTGAATTTATTTTGTTAGTAACTTTTTAATATTTAGGGTCTACGCGTTTACTTTTCATTTTTCTCATTTACTGCGGAGATGCACGCCTCAGAAGCTAGGGAATTGCAGCTTCCAGTTTCCTCCTAGCATCGCGACGACGCTAACGACGCGGCGCGTTGCGGAAGAAGGGCAAACTAAGTACCGTGTTGGCGCGGCACTCGCAACAGATGGCGCGGTACTCGCCACACATGGCGTATCCTCCCCTCCAAACACACACAACACACGCAAAAAACCGCCCGCCAAAACGGTGCCCCCCCTCTCCGTCGTCGTCTTTTCTTTTTTATTTTTTGTTTTTCCCGACCGAGCTGTTTTGGCGTACGCTTTGTGCGAAGGCACTAAAGCTTCCCCTCCCACTTAGGGGGTGTTTTGTGCAAAAAAGTAAGACACGGATTGCGCTTCTGTAGTGGAGCACTACCGCCACTGAAGCGGCGATACTAAAAATTGGAACCACCACAAAGTCGACGTTTCAAACGTGCTACGCACCACCGCTTGAGATTTTTGTTTTCCATGCCGTGCAGCTACCATTTCAAGTTTTGAACGCTGTAAGACTGCAGCATATTCGTTTCTCTTACCAGAAGTAAAAGAGAACACGTCAATTTCTCCCAGAATACCGCGATTCCGCCGTGTAATCGCAAACCAAAAATCGAACTATTTCCCAATCTGCAGCCGCGTATGGCGAAAACGAGAACCATGGCGTGATACACAAGATTTTAAGTAATTTAAAACGAAAAAAATACTTTTAATAGTCCGTATTCAGTACCCTAGCTGAAATGCGGGAGAAGTGATTGTCAGAAAAAGCGAACCAGCTGTTTAGAGCATGGGTATCAAGAATAAATGAGTCTTACTAAACAAAATAATTATAGCTAAAATCTTTAAAAACAAACAAAGAAAACCTATAAAGATTTTTCTTTTTTTTTAGAATAGTAAAAAAAAAAACATTAAGTTACATCGCTAACCCCAACCGGGAGGGAAAAATATATTTAGGAAAGGATTGAAGAAACAATCGACCCATCGCAATACGTTTCACTAGTTAACAAACGAAGTAAGAGGGGAAAAAATCTTAAACAGTCGACTGAACAAAATCATTAAAATCAATTTTGGAGCGATGTATGGCCCGGGGAGAATAGCAAACTTTTTGGGTTTTTTCAATTACGAGTTTATGTGATCAGAAGTATTTGTAATGATATTGTGGCTAGGGTGACCAGACGTCCCGTTTTGGCCGGGACAGTCCCGTTTTTGAGATCCGCCTCTGCTGTCCCGTCTTTCTGTCCCAGTAAAGAATCATGTCCCGTTTTCAAGACATTCTTTTTTTTTTTTTTGTCTATATAACTGCGCAGACTTTTACAACCGAGTCTTATAAGAAAAAGTCGTGCTTAGGAAACTTTAGTCGTCGGCAAAATACACCCACACCAACGAAGGACGCGAAGCAGTGTGACAATTTTCTAGACTAGGGCTTAGCGCAATATGGTAACGTTCTGAAATGAGAGCAGTTATTTCATTAAAATTTTCCCCCAATCTCAATCTTTAACCCCCGCTCCCCGCTGGGATATCCCGTTGTCTACCTTGAGGAATATGGTCACCCTAAATGTGGCACATGAACAATTAAGTTTCTCAAAGGTTGATCAGTAAATCATTTGAATGCAGGCAGTGAGATGCATCCGTATTTTCTTTTCAATTTCTTATATGTTGTCACAAATACGGCTAGGATTCCGCGTGTTTTCGGAGTTTATTTCTCGTGAATTTGGAGGGTGTTTTGGGTGGTTTTATTTTCGCTGATAATTGTGGGTTCGTCAGAGTTTATTTTTGCCTAATTCCCAATCTTTTAAATTCGGATTTAATTTTCCAGTGTTGTTATAATAAAAAAAAAAAAAAAACTGCAAAAACAAAATAAAGTCCGGGTACCGTGACCCACTGTCCTGAAGGAATCTCAAAGGGCAAACCTATTTTTGTGAGTAGTTCTATATATTTCAAAGAAAACTGAAGAGGCATGCCCTCAGGACCAGTGACACTGTGCTTATATAAAGTTTATTTGTAAAACACCGTCTTTTTTTTGTCTTTTTTTCTGTCCTTATAATTTCGAAATTTTGTGTTTTTCAGAAAAATCCTCAATGACGGAAAATGTAATGGCGATTGTTCTTCGATTTTTTTCGAGAACCCTCACGAATGACCGTCAGGCAAATAAATCCTAAAGGAAATGGAAAGGAAGGCGGAGTTTTGACGACTGTCATGTTCGATTCGCGATCAACCTCGAACCTTTAGCGACAGCTCGTTGATACTTTTTTGGGTAATCGATGTATAACATAACCAGTCAAAATATAAAAGAATGTTTAGTATTTATCGCCAAGAATTTTGTAAACATTCCCAAACATGCCTTTGCAGCCCCAATCTTTCATTGTTTTTCTCTCGAGTAGAGTTTTTGGAGTACATCGGATTCAAATTTCAAATTGATGCCATATGAAGCACGTGTCATTGTCTTCCAAGCGAAGTATAATTTATATATTGAGAAAAAAACCATGAAAAATTACAGGTTTTCAAATTTGGTACAAGTTCAGCACGCTGTGAAGACAAACACATCTCTCTCTCTCTCTCTCTCTATATATATATATATATATATATATTGACTGCTTAACATTCATTTGATGTCCTTCTTCGTGAGGAGGAAATGTAGTCTCGATTGCCAAGCTTCTAAATGGTTAGAACCTTGCGCGGATAACAGTTTGTTTGATCACCCGCATCCGATCCACACCCGCAGACTTTGTATACGCATCCGAACCGCATCCGCGAAATTCGGAACCACTTTGTATACGCATCCGAACCGCATCCGCAAAATTCGGAACCGCATCCAACACGCAAGCCATGCATTCATGTTACATCAAAAAATCGAGCGTAATTAAAAAAAAGAAAAAAAGCGTCAGGCTGTTTTTTTTTTTTTTTTTTTTTTACACAAAGAACTCTTCGAGTCAAGGCTGGGTTGCACACTTGGGACTGGCGCCATATAGCCTTGGAACACTGGCATTTCCGTATATTTCCAATTTATGTCGCGCATCATTCTTACTTCCTTGGGTTGAAAAGCTTTTGATCATGTTATATCTTATAAATGACCTTTTCTCGTGGAGTATACGTACATATGATCTCGCAAATATCGCGAAACCTTCTGTCTAATGAAATGCAGTTCCAGAGTCACCTCGTAATTAGCACCAGCGTGCCAGTGTTTTCTTTGGTCGGAAGAAATCGCAAGAACTCGGTCGTAAGCAAACGCAAGTGTGTAAACGGGCCTTCGGAATACACGGTTAAAGTCATTTTATCGTATTCTGTTTTATCGAATTTATATTACAAGCGATCATCCTTCCAACACGTGGCGTCGCTGGAAAGTTGTTTGCGTGTTATGAGAACGTGCTGACAGTTTGCGACAGTCTGCCCAAAAAATGCACTCTAAAAAAAAAAAAAAAAAAAAAAAAAAAACTTTTAACTTTTTTTTTTTTGCTTTGTAACCCCCATTTTACGCAGAAGCGTGTTTTCTCACCAAAAATATTAATAAAGGGCAAACTAATAATATTGTGTAATTTGATTTAGGCCAAACAATAAAAAAGTGGGAAAAGAAAAACAGTCTCTCACCGCAGCGGTGCACCACTGGGAAAATATCACAATATTCAATAATGGCAAAACGTTTATTGATTTCAGTTTGAAACACAAACCCGCGACTGTGTGCTCCGAACCACATACTTAGCGATACCTTAAAAACTCTCAAATATAAAAAAATAAAAAAATAAAAAAAAAACGCGCACACATTATTTTTTGTGAGGTTTTTACTTTGTTCTGGCTAGTACGTTTTAGCTTTCTTTGCCCAAAAAAAACGTTATTTTTTTCTGGGGAAAACATTTTTGGCGAGATATTACGGAATATAGCAATCTTTTGTGAGAATCAGTTCTTTCTTGGCGTACAGAACAATTTTCCCCCATTGGCAACCTTTTTTCTTAGAGGGTAATTTGCTCCCACAAAACACTCAATGCTGTACAGGGAGTTCCCGAGGATAGAGAAACATGTTTTTAGGCCCAGATAAATAAACTACGTATGCATCGCAGAAAGCTCGAACTCCGTTAAAATGTGAAGCTGTTGGAATAGAACGCGAAAGTTTGAGAATGCGACGGTGCGCGAAATAAAATGTAATTAATACAAGCTATTTTTTTTTCTTTCTATGAGCCAACGTCCACCTAAGCCTAATATCGTCAAAACAAGATATGATATTTTCAACGCTTGTAGGATTTATATCAGTAAAAAACCATTATCAACAAGAAAGGGAATAATGTTTTCTTTCTTGTTGACAAGCTTGTTTTACTGAAAACTCAACTTAAAGTACCGTGATCCGCTGATGGGGTGGTCGCTACATCTAGCCAGAAGCGCGTTTCTAGTGCAGATAATCAGTGCCGGTCCCCCAAAAAGTACCTGTATTTGACCACTTTTTTATGTGGCACAGGCAAATCATCATCATACACCGCCGTCGAAAAGTGCTGTTTCATAGCATGTTTAGGGGTCCGAGGACGTTTTGTTGCGAGCGTTTCGGTACGCGGATGTTCCGGTGCACAGGTAAGCTTCAGTCCACTGACTTTTCTAGCGCGCGGAACTTTCTGGTGCACGAACTTTCTGGTGCACGCACTGAAGTTGTCGGTGTATGGCCATTTAAAGATTATGAACATCGTTCGACTCTTCCTAAAATTACATTTCTTATTTT